ATAGTTACTGTGATCCTGACTTTACAAATGAAAAACCTAGGGGTTAGAGAAGTAAAACAATTTGTTTATGGACATCCAGCTAGTAAATAGAGGAGTTCGATTAAAACTCTAGACCTATGTTGGGTTTCAGTGTTTCCAGTCCTCCACTTCTCATACTTGAGATGTTCAGCCCTTTCCTGCAATTCTGCCCCATTCTGGTCTGTAGAATTGATCCAAAGTTTAGTGAGAGGGATGTTGGAAGGAGTTCCAGGCTCCTTGATGTGATGCACTGTTGAGCTGTCCTTAGAGTCTCCTGAGACTTTTAGTTTCCAAATTCTCTGTGTGAAACTTCTAGATGACAACAATAAGCATTGATGGTTATTTTTGTCTGCTGTGTTATTGAGACCATAATGAATCTTTTGAACCAAATTTGACCCAGTGCTAGAGCCAGTTTCTCTCTCCTTCTGCTCTGATTTGTTCTTCCATCTCCATGCTTCATCAACCCTAAGGTTGGATCTTGTCCTGGCTGTACTCCTCTTGTCTGCCTTGCGGTATTGTAGTTAATAGGACCAAAGTCTCTTCTCTCTAGAGCTAAGAGTATGGCTGTCTCCACCGAAAAGTTCACCACCTTCTTTTTTCCCTCTCCAAATTCAATTCTTTGTGGAAGGTCAATCCCCCTCTACCTATAACATCTTCTCACACAACTCCAGAGTTCATAGAACTTTCCTTTCTTTCACTCAGTACCATCTTTATTTTTCCCTTGTCCTGGAAGCTTAACACTTACTAATTTTCCCATCGAAAGCCCTTTAGAAATTACTCGTGTTACTTTTGTTTATTTCCCACTTGTGGGAAAAGCTGGTGGACATTCTTAGTACTAAGCATTGCTGATTATTATTGATGTTCTGTTTACTATGTGAGGTTGCCAAAGCAAGGGAGGGCTTATGTATCGCAGGGACTATATCTCACTAGCGAGAAAGAGAAAAGTCGCTCTCAGAATATGTCCTTCCAGGCAGAATCAGTTTCGCCCTGGTGTTCTGTTGCATATAAACAGTTTTGCGAAACATCCCAGGACCACAGAGTACTGAAACAAAAGCAAAATTTTTTGCAATCACATCCAAATAGAGAAAACAATGTGAACATTGTCCAAACCATAAAATAAACATTTCCCTATCCTAGATAATATGAATGATTGCTACTTCTTTACCAAGTATAGCTGTGGACGTGCTTCATTCTTTTTGCCTTATATATCAGATTCATTAATATACACAAGCAACAAATTATCCCAACTTACTAACAACATGTGATTTAGAGCAAGACATTGCTTCTTTTAACCCTCTCCAAAATTACTTAAGTCCAAATCCTATGAGGCAGTGCTTCCTTATGTCTTCTTACTACAATTACTTACTCTCAGTGACATGCATTCTCCCTCTTTTATTGCAATGAACAATAAATACAATAAATACAACTTGTTACACTATAGGTATGTTCTTGGTGGTCTTTGCCTGGAGGGTTTGATATCAGAGATTTCTTGAACTATTAGGAACATGCTCAGTTTTATTGACTTAGTTTTTTCAAGGAGTATGTTAGGAATAGATCTAACAAAATATGTCCATGGTCTAAATGAGGAGAACTACAACACTTTGATAAAAGAAATATTATTTATAACTTGATTTATAAATTCAATACAATCTTAATTAAATTCCCAGTAGTTATTTTGTAGTATTGACAAAGTGATTCTAAAATTTATATTGAGAGGCAAAACACTCAGACTAACTAACACAATATTGAAGGAAAAGAACAGAGTTGGAGGAGTAACACTTCAAGACGTACTAAAAGTTCCATTAAATGAGACAGTGTGGTATCCGTGAAAGAACAGATGAACAGATCAATGGAACAGAATAGAGATCTCAGGAATAGACCCACATATATTTGATCAATTGATCTTTGACAAAGTGGCAAAGGGAATACAACAGAACATACCAATAATGAAGGAGAAGGAAAATCTAATACAGACCTTATACTCCACAAAAAAATGCAAAATGGATCATAGGCTTAAATGTAAAATGCAAAACTATAAAACTCCTAGAAGATAACACAAGAAGAAAAACTAGATGATTTTGGGTATGATGACTTCTTTGGTAAAATGCCAAAGGCATGATCCTTGAAAGAAAAAAAACTGATGAAGTGAACTTCATTAAATTTAAAAATTTCTGTTCTTCTCTAAAAATATTGTTAAGAGAATGAGAATACATGTCACAGAGTTGGAGACATTATTAACAAAATACATATCTGAAAGGACTGTTTATCAAAATATTAAAAGAACTCTTAAAACAATAGCAGTAAGAAACAATAACAACAACAAAAATTGATAGCACATTAAAAAAGTACAAAAAAGATCTGAACAGACACCTTACCAAAAATATATATGCATCTATAGAAGATAAATAAGCCCATGAAAAAAATGTCCTTAGATAGATGGATGGGCAAAGTATAGTGTATCCAGACAATGGAATATTATTCAGTGGGAGAAACAACTACACAGTACAACAGAAATGAAGTGAATTTAAAAAGGTTACACTTATTGTATGACATTCTGGAAAAGGCAAGACTGTGAAGACAGTTAAAACAACAGTGGTTGCTAGAGGGTGGTGGGGAAAAGGAGGATATGCAGGGGGGACATGGAGAATTTGTAGGACAGTGAGACTACTCTGTATGATACTATAATATAGTGGACATGTCATTATATACTTACCAAAACTCAAAGACTATGTCATCCAAGAGTGCACCCTAATGTAAACTATGTATTTTGGTTGACACTAGTGTGTCAATGTAAGTTCAACGATCATACTAAATGTGCAACTCTGGTGGGGATGTTGATAAGGGGAGAGGCAATGCATATGTGGGGATGGAGGGATAAAGACAATTTCTGTACTTCCATTTAATTTTGGTGTGAATCTAAAACACTAATAAAAATAAAGTCTATTAAGAAATAAGATTACTTGTTTCTGAGTGGCAGGAAAATGGCCAAGTTTATATTTGGTATCAGAGAACATATATTAGTATTACTATGTGTCAGGCATTGTGTTAAGTGCTTTATATGTTAAGTGCTTTATAAGATTCACAAATCTTCATATTATAACTTACACCTTCATATTACACCTTGGAAAAAATTTTCCAACTTCTCAAAATGTCTATAATTAATATATTCTATAACCAGAAACTTTACTTATTCACAAAATAGATTAAGCTGAAAGCTTTTGAATTGGTGAATATTCTAGGAACTACTGAAAGTGAGTTTTTTTTTTAAGGATTAAGAATGTTTTACATGGAAAGGGGGTTTTGGAGTGAGACATGATCGCTATTCTCCCAGAGTTGAAAGACAGTTGGAAAAGAAATTGGACTCTATTTTCATGGCTTCAAAGTGAACTAGAATTTCAAAAGTGAGCTAGAACAAATGAACAAGATTTTTTTTTTTTTTTTTTTTTTTTTTTGTGGGACCCTCCCCGGTGGCCCGGGATCGAGCTGGCACTGCAGAGGCTGCAGGCAGCCTCGCAACTCAGCGCTCAAGCGCTGCACCACCAGGGGAGGCCCACGAACAAGAATTTTAAGGCAATATGGACTTACAATAAGGATGCTCTTTCTGACAATTCTATCCAAAAAAAAAAAAAAGTAATCCATATAAATCCATGCGTATTTATAGATTTATGCATCCAGAAGAAGTTTGGACAAACAGCATCTAAGGCCATTTTCAACTTAGAAATTCCATGCTTTTTAATATTATTGCAGATTAATCAGAGAGAAGAGAGAAGGTCTACCCTTTCAGTTAAAAACTAGGATCTGATTCTGTGTCAACCTTGGCAAAAACGATGCGGTGTCTGGGTGAGCGACGAATAACTGTGAAACTTAAAAGACTGCTTCAGTGCACTTTTAGTGTGGTTATCAGGAAACAGAATGGCATAAAAATCAAAAAGAAAAAGGACTATTTATTAGAAAGATGACAGAACACAAAACCGATTTAAATCTGCCATTCACTCCTTCCCTCAGGTTGGTTCACACACAGGTACACACACACCACTTTTTCCTTCAATTTTCCCCACTTCTCGATTACCATCCTTTGCATTATTAATATGCTCTTCCCTTGAGACGCAGGCCTGTCCTTACCCGAGCCACCCGAAAACCACGGGCTTCCTCCTTGCTCTGAATTGCTTTATTTTGGAAAGCAGGAGACTTCTACCAGTGTCAAGTTTGTGGAACAACCCATCTACCCCAGATTGTTTCACGTTCAGTCCGTTCACTGTATGATCCGATACTTGTGTCACAGGCGCTCACACAGTGAGAGTCCTTGAAGCCCCTCTGTGCCCAGGTCGGGTGGCAGCAAAGCAGGCAAAGCCCTGAAGCCCGCGCAGGGCACCTTCAGCCGCGCGGGCGGGGCGGAGCGCGCGGCTCCAGCCAGAGGGCGCCCGCGCACAGGCAGCGCAAACGCCCTGAGGATTATAGGGGCTTCCCGACTTTTCCTCAGCTAGCCAGAGTGGGGGGCTCCGTCACCTTGTGAGAAGAGTCCCTCCTGTAGTACCGCTCCCCCAAACCCTCATAGTTTGCGTCTCTGCCACAGTTACTTCTGGCTGTCACCGCCAGGTCATCCTCAGCTTCAGAATCACCCCCTCCCACTCTGACCCACCAGGAGCCCCCCACGCTGGCTGCGACCCCGAGGAACCCCTCCCCTCTGAGACCCGGACTCCAGCGGGCAGGCTCTAGAGCTGAGTCCTCAGAGGGTCTTCGCCCACTCCGGGCACCTTGAGTGGGGAGGAGGTGGTGTGAGGCAGAGGGCAAGGTAGGAGCCGGGAGGTGGGGTGGGTGGGGGACCCGGTAGGGCGCCGGGTCAGGGGGGAGGAGATGAGAGGAGGCCCGACAGGGGCTTTCGGTTTCCCGGGGTCTGATTGGAGGTTGGCCCGATGAGTCGGAGCTGGGGGCGCGCCCATCTCCACTGGCTCCTGCGAGAGCCGCTGGCTCGGCCCCTCCCCGGAGCGGCTTTGTCCCGGGTGACGGCGGCGGAGGTTGCGGGGAGGAGCGGGCAGCAGGCAGAGACCCACAGACCCACAGACCGGCCACCCCGAGACCGAGAGGCTGGGCGCGCGGCGCACAGCCCCACGCCCAGGCCCGCGGGCATCGCGCCCGCCCCAGAGCGCGCTCGCACCGGCGGGCAGGTGAGCAGGCAGCGCCGCGCCCGCAGCCACCGGCCCCAGCGGACCGCCTGAGCAGCCGCCTCGGCTTCTGCCCGCGCATCGCGGACGCCCAGCAGGTCGGTTATGTAACCGCGCCGGCACGCGAGTCCCTGCTCCCTGTCCTGCCAGGGCTGCGCGCGCGGGGTCCTTGCCGTGCCGGGGAACCGCGGCAGGGGGCGGGCAAGCGCGACCCGGCGAGAGGGGGATCGGAGGGCAGCGGCAGCAGCGGGGCAGTGGTGGTGGTCTCCGGATCCTGTAATCACACCGGGCAGCGGCCTGAGGGGCAGAGGTCTCCCTTTTACACCCCTCTAGAGGGCGCGGGTCTCAGGGAGCCCCTTCCCTATTCCAAGGGGCGAACCCCAAGGTTCGCCTTTCCCAGTAGCAGCAGCAGGTGCATTAAGTGGAAGAGCGAGAAAGACGCCTCTGGACCCCAGATTGAGTTTTGGAGATGGGCTGTGGGAAGCAAAGTGGCCATAGAGAACCAGAGCAAACGGAGAGACTCTTTTCCCAGTGCTTAAAAGAAAGTGCAGGGGAGGAGGTAAGGTGCTCGGAGACACAGCGAACTGAGCTGGGAATTGTCCTGCCTGGGATTAGCGGCTTAGGTCATCTAAAAATAACTTCAAGTTTGAAAAGTGAAATAGAAGGGAGCGCAGTGTGCCGAGTTTGTCCTGCCTGTGGGATGCTTCGCTCTAGAAGTCACCAGAGGGAACAGGTAAATCCCAGCCGCATGATCCCTGGACTGACTCTGGGTCTCACTGGTTTCCAGGGTACCTTGGTTTGACTTTTAGTTAATGATTTATTCTCCAAGGCACTGTTATCTTGTTCTTATCCCCAAGTGAATGATAGCAGAGGGCATGCTTTGAACCTTTTCTGTTTCCTACATTGGGATAGAAGCGTTCAATGAATATTTAGCGAGTCGGCTGCCAAAGCTTTTTAAAACAGCATCGTTTTAGTGAAAACAAAAGTTTCTGGGCTCTTTTCAACACACAAATCCACAATTGTAGATGAAAGCATGCTGGAGCATTCAGCTCACACGTCTCCTTTCCTTCATCCAGAATCCCACCTAACTTATCATAGAGAGGGGATGCTTTAGGAAAAGTAGGGCATTTTTTAAATAATGCAGCACAACTTTCACACATATTACATCAACTTCAAAACACAGGACAAGTGCATCACAGGTACAGGGCGACACTTGCTAACCTGACCCTCCAATCTGGGGGCCCAATAAAGTTGGAAATGCCCAGGAGCTGGAAAGCTTTAAGAAGCAGGTCAGTGCTGAGTGGTGGAGGCAGGGGACTGAACACTTGGCTGCTTTTCAGTCTACACATTGATTTTCTTTACTCTTAAAGCTATTATCTTAAGTACAATTAGTCATTGAGTCAAATTAGTCTAAAATATGGGTTGCACTTTGCTTTCAAACCTACTGCAAATCAAATCAGCAAGCATTTATTGAGCAACTACTACCCATGTTAAGCTCATAGAATTTTGTGATGGAAAAGTGTCTTACCTAAAGCTACAGGATTCCAAGAGCTTTCAAAATGCCCTGAGTGTGAGGGTACAGCAGACACTAACTAAATCAGGGAGGGTGTTGCTATCTCGTGAAGAACATTTAGTAGGTATAAATGGAAACTTAAGAGCTTTGTCATTTGCAAGTATACATCACACTCTTAAAAGCCACTTGCATAATCATTTGTTGCTCATCATACATGTTACACAAACTAATTGAATTGAGACCAGTTTTGATTGTTGTTGAGGTCTCACTTTCCCATTTCTTTTACTTCCTGTGCCATCCACTCAGTTTACTGAATAGTTATTTGTTAAGCATCTACTTCTACTGTGCAGGTCTAATGTTGGAGGCTAAAAGAATGAGGCCCAGGCTTTTCAGAAATCAGCCTAATAGAAAAAGATAAGAAAATAAGTGATAATGATCATTATAGTGAGTGTTTAATGGAGATAGGAACAACTTTAGTGGGAGTCCAGGGAAGAAATAGTGGAGAGAATCTGGACTGGATCCTAGTAAGTGGTAGCATTATTCTAGGGAAAGGGCTTGGTATTCCACACTCAAGGAAAGGGTGTGTTTAAAGAACATCTAGGTGTTCTGAAGCACAGGGGTGGCACCAGAGAAGGTGGTTCAGTGAGCTTGGGTTGTGCATATACTGCTGAGGAGGAAAAATTATGCAGCCTTTTGAGAGAAATGATTTGATTTAATTTGAATTTTGCAAAAGTGACTTGGAAGGTGGTGAATAGGTGGGGTTGGGAAGAGAAATGAGCACAGATTTTAAATCATTGGAGTAGTGCAGGCAATAATACTAATAATAAAATGTTGCTGATCCTGGCAGCCCAGAGAAAAAGAAGAGAGATACACTGAGAGCCATTTCAGAGGGAAAGTCAGTGGTCATCTAAAGGACTGTTATGAAGGCAAAGCTTTGATGTATAGATGAATGGTCAGGCTTTGAATTAGGAAGTATATGAAAAGAGGTTTGAAAAAGAATGGGAATTTGATTTTGAACTGAAAATATTTGCTGTGGGATCAGGAATAAGACAAGAGTGCCACCTCTTGCTACTTTTATTCAATATAGTACTAGAAGTCCTAGGCAGAGCAATTAAGCAAGGAAAAAAGGCATCTAAATCAGAAAAGAAATAAAAACTGCTTCTATGTGCAGTTGACTTAATATTATATCTAGAAAACCCTAAAAACTCCATGATAAAACCATTAGAGCTAAGTAAAGTTTCAGGATAAAAAAATCCATATGCAAAATCAGTTGCATTTCTATGCATTAATAACAAACTATCACAAAGACAAGATAAATAAAGGAAAAACATACAATTTTCATCAGAAGAATAAAATTCTAAGAAATATATTTTTTAATTTATTTATTTTTATTTATACAAGCACTGGGTACAGTCAGAAGTGTGGGAGGGTGAGAGAATTCACCAGAGCCAGAGTGGGGAGCAGAACAGACAGACTGACGAAACACATGGCTTAGGGGAGCAGCGGGTGCATCAGGAGAGGTCTGCCATGCGGGACCCTTGCCAGCGGCCGCAGATCGAACCGGTGCTGCAGAGGCTGTGGGCAGCTTCACAGCCCAGTGCTCAACCACTGCACCACTGGGGAGGCCCCCAAGAAATAAATTTAACCATGGAAGTAAAGGACCAATATATTGAAATTAAGAAAACTGATGAATAAAATTGCAGAAGACACAAATAAATAGGAAGATATTCCATACTTATATATTAGAAGAATCTTGTTAAAAAGGCCATAATCTTCAAAGCAATCTACAGATTCAATACAACCCTCAACAAAATTCCAATGACATTTTTCACAGAAGTAGAACAATCTTGAAATTTGTGTGGAACCACAAATGACTCCAAATAGTAAAAGAAATCCTGAGAAAGAAGAACAAAGCCAGAGATATCACACTTCTTGATTTCATTCTATATTACAAAGCTATAGTAATCAAAACAGTATTGGCATTAAAGCAGACATTAATCAATAGAACAGCATAGAGAGCCCAGAAATAAGTTTATGACAAAGGAGCCACTAATATATCATAGGAAAGGGATAGTATCTTCAATAAATGGTGTTGGGAAAACTGTGAACAACCATATGCAATAGAATGAAACTGGACCGCTATTTTACACCATACAAGAAAATCATTTTGGGCCTCCCCGGTGGCACAGCGGTTTTGCACTGGGTTGCAAAGCTGCCACAGCCTCTGCAGTGCCGGTTCGATCCCGGCTGCTCCCCGGCCACTGGAGGAGGGTCCCACATGGCGTGCAGACCTCTCCTGCTGCCCGCTGCTCCCCTCAGCAGTGTACTTCGTCAGTCTGCCTGCTCTACTCTCCGCTCTGACTCTGGTGAATTTTCTCACCCTCCTGCACTTTTGACTGTACCCAATGCTTGTATAAAATAAATAAATAAATCTTTAAAAAGAAAAAAAAAAAAAGAAAATCATCTCAAAGTGGATTAAAGATTAACAAGCCCTGAAACTATAGAATTCCTAGAAGAGAACATGGCGGCAATCTTCTTGATGTGTGTCTTAGCAGTGGTGTTTTGAAATTGTTATCAAAGGTGAAAATAAACAAGTGGGACTACATCAAACTGAAAAGCTCCTCCACAGCCAAATAAACCACCAACAAATGAAAAGGCAACTCATTGAGAGGAAGAAAATATTTGCAAATCTTTTATCTGGTAAGAACTCAAATAACTCACTAGAAAAAACAAAACAAAACAAAAAACCCACAAAATGCAAGACAACTAAACTGAAATTTCTACAAAAAGGACATACAAATGGGCAGAAGAGCTAAAGAGAAACTTCTCCAAAGAGGAAATGCAAATGGCCAATAAGCATATGAAAAAATGTCAACATTACTTGTAATCAAGACTACAATGAGATACCATCTTACACCAGTGAGAATGGCACATATTAAAAAAATTAGCAACAACAAATGTTGGCGAGAATGTGGAGAAAAAGGAACTCCCCTGCACTGCTGGTGGGAGTGCAAACTGGTCCAAACACTATGGAGAGCTGTGTGGAGATTCCTCAATCTGTTAAAGAGGGAGCTTCTGTATGATCCAGCAATTCCACTCCTAGGTATTTACCCAAAAGACACAGATATACTAATTCAAAAGGGCACCTGCACCCCTATGTTTCTAGCAGCACTATTTATAATAGGTAAGCTATGGAAATGCCCCAAAATAGATGACTGGATCAAGAAGATGTGGTATATGCACAATGGAATATTACTCAGCAATTAAAAAGATAAACTCATGCAGTTTGCAGCAACATGGATGGAGCTAGAAGGGATAATGCTCAGTGAAATAAGCCAGAAAGAAAAGGAAAAATACCAGTGGTCTCACCCATATCAGGAATTTAGAAAACCTAAATAAGGGACCAGGAAAAAGACTAATTATAATAAAGTAAAAATCAAAATCAACAAGCAACTATAAACCAGAAACACACTACAGGGTGGGGATTGGGGGAAAAGGGAGTAGGATGAAAACAAGGGTGGTGGGAATTGTATGGAGACTATACCCAAGATGAAAATGCATACATTGTGCAAAAAATGAAAAATG